ACCTCCTACTACGTACCTACCGTGGTACGCGCGTCGCCGGCTGGCTGAACAGAGAAAAGGATTGAGAACATATCATACATGTAACGTTCGGCCGACCCGAGTCTGTTTGGAGGATTGGGTTAAAGATAACTGATAACGTGGGGAGGTGGATTGCCTTCAAAGTTCAATCGACAGCTGATGCTGCGCAGTGCGCAACCGAGGTGAAGTTACCTCCACCCAGTCATCATTTGATTAGCCAATAATGTCAATTTTCTGGTTGCCTGAATCTCCGGCTTCGGAGTCCCAACCGGCGAGAACTTGGGCAGCTCGGCGGGTACGGAAGGTACGTCCGCCCATTGGCAAGAGTCCTGAGTCCTGTGTACTTGATAGATGTTAGGCCTGCATATTAGTGTTTTTAAATATATTATTGCGAGCATGCATACTTACCTGCGAACCTTTTCAATCGAGCAGACACCGGCTCTATATGTTTCACAACATTGCCAGGGCACTCTCCATGTTGACCGGACTACCGTATCTGATCCGATCATGTCATCCACGTTTTTAAGCAGCCTGCCCTTACTTCCATACTTGGCAAGCACGCTCTGTAGCTGTGCATTGCGACTTAGCTGTTCAGATGAAATAGGTATAGTACGCGTTCCATGTTGGACTATCTCACCTGACGACGAGTTAACCAAGCATACACGAACCATGGTTCGTTTCTATTTGCACATTCATCCACAACATGCACCTTCATTGAACTTTAGAAGGCGACTTTCAGGGTATTTCGACGACTCGGCTCATATCTAGGAGTGCACGTGTTGAGAGGAAAGATCAGCTCGCTCTAGAATCAGTCTACCCACATACACGTTTGTTGACACGGAACGGGTAGGATCATTTAAAGGCAAGCATTGATGATCAACAGGCCGCAAAGGAAGATCTGAGGAAACTCTTTCTTGTATGTAGTCGGGGTAGACATCAAATTCCTCGAAACTCCCGCTTCCCCAAATCAGGACGAATCTTGGGCTAAGTCGTCCCCTCTGCCGGCGATCGTTGCCGGCTGTTCTAGAGGGTCGCTAAACATTTACTGTGCACGTATGCAACACGGATCCCCAAGAGTGCCTGCCCCGTTGGGCGCATCAACCGTCGCTCGCCGGTTGTGGTCTTCATTGCCCGCTCCTGGTGCCCCCTCGATGCCAAGTCAGCCGGCCTCCTGCACGAACTAACGGGAGGCTCAACGAGAATGGGCAGCCCGCCGTGCTGGCTGCTGATCGACGCCCCGATCACACGTGCGCGAATCTGTTGCGAATGCGAGTACGACGCCCAGAGTGGTTGCGAGCAGCTACGCTCCAGGCGGACAGATCGGTGACTCCTCCTGATCCGAGCGGCCACCCTCTGCCACCCAGAGTGCGCCCTCACCCGGAGGCACCGTCCGCACTCAGATCACCTCCTCGTAGCACCTGAGCGCAGGCACACAGGTCGGGGCACAAGGTATCCCCGGCTTCGCGCTTCCCCAGCTTGCCCCCCTGCCTACTCCGGTTGGCTGTTGACCCGGTCGCTCTGCTGGGGGTGGCTGGCGAGGGGGGTCCCTCTCACCTGGTGTGGCGGCGTGCCTGCCCCGCCTGGCGGAGTGCCGTTGCCGGTGCGCTGCCGGTGTGGGCCGCCCTGCTGCCGCTCCGCCTCCAGCCACTGAATGTGCTCCCGCAGCGCGCCCACGTCCTGCACCCGCGCCGCGCGCCCAGGCCACGTCAGCCACAGCAAGGCGCAGGCGGCCAGGATGCACGGGGTGGTGAGGCGAGAGGGGCCTTTGGCGCAGCGAGGGGGGGCTACCGCCTGCCGGGCTGCTCACCTCGTCTGCTGCGGCAAGCTGAACCTCTGCGGCCAGGTCGCGGCTGAGGCGGGGGCCGGGCCTGCAAAGGGGCAGCAGCGCGGCGGGGTGAGGAGGAAGCACGCGCCGCTGGCAGGGGCGGCCCGAGGCGCGCCGGGCAGGGGGCAGGCAGACAGGGGCGACGGGGGGCGGTCGCGCCCAGCCTCGCTGCCGCCTGAGCCTGCAGCGGAGGGGTGCAGAAGCTGGCGCGGGGCGGGCTCACTGCGGGGAGTGGCCCGGGTGCAGCGCGGCGGCGATGATGGCCTCCTGCTCGCCAATGATGGCGCGCGCCGCGGCCAGCTGCGCGTCCAGCTCCAGCTCGCGCTCGCTCGCCTCGTCCTCCGCGGCGCAGCTCGCCAGCGCCGCCATACGCTCCTGCGCCACCAGCGCCGCACGCATCAGGTGTGCAGCACGGCATGGGGGCGGCTGTGAGGACACGGAGCAGAGCGGGTGGCGGGGCAGGCAGGGGGGGACCGAGCAGGCAGGCGAGCGGGGCAGACCTGGAGAGACGCCATCTTGGCGCGGAGGCTGTGCTCGATGCGGTCGCGCGCGAGGGGATACGGCATGTCGAACACGTCCTGCACACAGGCACGCCCCGCACGCCTCAGGCTCATTGCCAGGGGCCATCAAGCAGCACCTTGCGAGCATCGCCCGAGCGCTCTCAAGGAGAACGACTCATGTTTCAACCGGGGACCACTGTGGAAAGTGGACCTTGCAAAGTTTGAGGTTTTGAAGAACACAACTCAGTGATCGTTGCACGCCGAAGCCAGGACTTCGCACCGAGTCCGACTTTCGCAACGTCATCCCGTTAACAACTCTCTCGTTCAAATGAAGACTCGGGCTCCATGACCCGGCTCAGCCGAGTGTGTCACAGGCTGCGCTCAAAGGCGCCATGCGGGGCCGCATCGCAGCAGCGGCGCCTCACCAGGCGGCCCTTGAGCGGGGTGTCGCTGGGCGTGGCCGCGCCGGGGCTGCTGGCGCCGCCCTCGTGGCCGCGCACCAGCCGCTGCATGTCCTCCTGCAGACACCCACGCGATGTGAGAAGGGGCAGCGACTGCGCCGCCCGCTGGTCCAGCAGGGGGAGGGGGAGGCTGGCGAGTCAGCAGAGGCGAGCGGATGGGGGGGGAGTGGCACACCCGGTGGGTTGCACGTACCTGGAGGGTGCGCAGCGAGTCCTTGAGCGCGGCGTTCTCCGCGGTGAGCTCCTGCTTCTTGGCCTCGTACGCGTCCACCTGCAAGCAGCACACCGCCACCGCAGCTCACACACACAGCCCTGCGGGCAGCACGCAGGCGACACAGGGGGCATGCCAACGGCCAGGACAAGAGGGGCAAGTCCACGTGGGGCAGTGCCACAACGGAAGGGGATGGGCGACCCGGCAGATGTGCACGGGGAAAGGGTCTGGGGCCGGCCCACTGACAATCATCTTGTAGAAGTCGCCGTCGGCCTTCTTGCCGTCCCACGTGCCGCGCTGCCGGCCGCCCTTCTGCGCAGCGCACAAGGGGCCCAGCGTCAGCACAGCGGGTGGGCCAGCCTGGAGGCCAAGCAGAGCCGCAGGGCCTGCGGAGGGAGGGGGTGCACGCACAAGACGCGTCCGTGCAGGGGGGCCCCTCACCTGCAGCAGCGTCATAATCTCCATGCCCCCCCCGCCCAGCTTCTCCTTCTTCTCCGCCATCAGCACGCTCAGCCGCTCCTGAACACACCCAGCCCGGGTCGCACACTCAGACAGCGAACGAGAGGGGGAAGGGCCGCTGTGCGCCTGCCAGCATCTTTGCAGTCTTTGCGGAAGCCTTCTGGCGATAGTTGTGTAGGATCCGGAGGCGGGGTGCAGGCGCGCTGACCTGGAGGCGAGCGTAGTGGCCCTCCTTCTTGCGCAGCTCGTGCTGTAGCTGCGCCTGCCGTTGCTGCACACACCAAAGCACACACGACACCGCTCAAGCAGAGCAGCAGCATCAGGCGGAAGATAGCCGTGCCCAGGCAGCAGCGCGCATGGGGGGAGGCCCTCTGCCCATGGCGGCCAGGGCTGCCCCGAAGGAGCCGTGCCCAGGACCACGGCGACAGCTCTTGGCGCGGCGCCTCTGCCCGCGCGGTGGTGCGCACCTGGAGGCCGGTGGCGATGCGGTGGAACTCGTCCCGCTCGTCCTTCATCTTGTCCAGTGCCGCCTTGCCCGCCGCCGCCGCCTTCTGCTCCTGCACACAGTCGCCCTCGCACAGCTTCAGGCAGGGGTTTGTAGTTTGTAGTTTGTAGCGCAGCGCTAAGCCGGAGCAGGGCAGCAGAGCAAGGGGAGCCCGCAGCTGCAACTCGCTTGGGCTGCGCCTCCCGTTGGCGTACCTTGGTGACCGCAGCGGCCAGGTCGCGCTCCCGCGCCTCCAGCTGGGCCTGCAACCGCTGCACGCGCGCCTCGCAGCGGCTCAGGTCAGCCGCCAGCCTGCAGCGCACATACACACACCCGCAGTGAGGCAGCATTTGGCCGCGTTCCAGCCGCAAACTCTCTTGGCACCCATCAGGAGCACACGAGGCCGCTCAGCAGCGGCGCCCGCTGGCAGCCCTGCCAGAGATGCGCGGCAGGCCAGCCCCGGCGCCATGCGGTGGACTGAAAGGGGATTTGCGCGCAGGGCTGGGGCCTGGGGGCGCACCTGTGGCGCTGCTCCGCGGCGCTGTCCCGAAAGTCCACGTCCCGCTGCCGCTGCTGCAGGAGGGAGTACACGCAGTTGCATACCGCCGCTGCGGCGTCCTGCAAACAACAGCAGCAACGACAGGGGGCCACGCTCAGGCAAGGCAGGGGGGACAAGGTGGGGGGCAGCGACCAGCGGGCAGAGCCAAGGAGGGAGATGGCGCGCAGGCACAGGCACGGGGAGTGACCATGAATTCCTAAGGGAATCCCACCGGTGTGAGGAGTTGCAGCGGGGCCGGGTGGCGCCTCACCGCATCGTAGGCTTGCAGGGGCAGCGCGGGAAAGCCCGCAGCAGCCAGGCTCTGGTTGAGGTACCGACAGCAGCTCTCAATGTTGCCGCCGTCCGCAAATTCGTCCTTTCTGCACGCACACAAGGCACAACCATGGAGCTGCACCTTCGGGAGAGTATGGAAACCTCGGGCTGCCCGGGAGCAAGACAAGGAGGGGGCAAATGCCCGGGGGGCCTCCCTTCAAGACATGAGCTGGTAGGGAGAATGGGGCGCACCTAGTGAGGGCCATGATACTGGCTGCTGGATGAGCTTGATCGTCCTGCAAGCAAGGGGACCTCATGTCAAAGAGGCAGGGCCAGGCCGCGGGAGCGTCTTCTATAGGCAGTGACGTCGGTGACAGATGCAGTGTTCAGGAGGGCACCAACAAAGTGCTTCAGTGATCTGGCAATTGAGATCCTCCAAGCCTCCAGAGTGCTTGCTCTGCCCAGGCTGGGCTCAGCACTGGCGTCAGCCTGGTGCTGGCAGCGACAGGGGGCGGGCCACGCAGGAGAGCTGCGCCCCCCTCTCCTGGGCCACATTACGGCAATGCCAGTGCTGGGCAGGCCCGCAGAGGACAGCCCCCCCGGCGTCTGCAAGGAGCCGCCCGTGCTCACCAGGTGGGCCATCATGGCATTCTCCGCTGCAGGAAAAAGGGCCTCCTCCGCCAGCGGCCGCAGGGCCATTACACGATCGCGTGTTTGGTCCGCGTGGTCAACATCTAAGCTTCTTGCCTCAGCGAGCTACTCCACCCAAGGTTGAAACTTGATGGAGAGTCTCCAGGACCAGCGGAATCTGTTCAAAACTTCGTCGTTGGACTCGAAAGAAAGGAGCGGGCAAGACTTCTACCCGCCTCAGAATCAGATTGCATGGCAGCAACTTGTGAGTTTGAAGACTTCAATTTCAACTCCAACGGAGTCCAAGTTCTCAAGCGAGCAGTAAATTTGTGCTCGCTTCAACAGTCAACTTGCTTAAATACGGTAGTAGGATTCTGCCTGCCTCGCCGTTTTCCCGGCGTTTGGAGTAGCAGCCACATTCTACGGTATACACCCTAGTACCTACACCGAAATGTAAACTAGAAACTGGCTCATGCATGCATTCCACTTTTTGCCTAATGCTTGCATAATATATCAAGCAATACAGCCAGCACTGATCTGTTGCAGCGTATGGCCGGCAACGTAGAGAGTTTTGGGCGCGCTTCTCCCCCCTCCGTTCTGCACGATCGTGAAATTGAACAAAGCCAGTGAAATTGTTGAGTTCACCCTCAAGCAGGCTCCGCTGCATCTATGGCGGCGGGCAGCGGCGTCCCTCCTGATAACACTCTGCCGCTGCTGCAGTTTGTGCCGTGGCAGAGTGCAGTGGATGTGGGCTTCTGGCAGAAGCTGGCTGCGCGCAAGCTGGCGGAGCTGCGCCTGAGCGAGGCCGAGCAGCCGCTGGCGGGCCACTTCACCGCCAGCACCCACACACAGGTGAGCGCTGCGCCGCCTGCCCCTTAGCTGCGCCGGGCCCGCTGTGCTCCGCAACTGTGCCTTAGTGCTGTCCAGCGGTGCCCGCCCCGAGTGTGAGCAGCTGACTCATGCCTGTGGTCTGCCCTTCCCCTGCCAGCTGTCCTCCCCCCTCCACGTTGGCCCGGACGCCTGGGCTGGGGGCGTCAGTGAGGGCGCAGTGCGGGGGGGGCGTGCGGTGGCCCCTGGCTCGTGTGTGTTGACCAACACTCTGGACGGCTTCAAGCAAGCGGACAAGAAGGCCCTCCTGCAAGCCGCCGCCGCCAAGGTCTGCGCCCCACACCACCACCCTCTGCGGCCCCCCTGCCGTGCATCAGTAGGCTGCTCATCAGCCATGGTCAGTCAGTACTCTGGCGCTGTGCACCTGGTGCTTCCTCCCTGTTGTGGACTGTGCGGTCCCTCTGCGTGCCCCCTCCTTCTGACGCCCCCCCCCTGGTGCAGGTATGGGCCGCCATCGTGTCGGGCCAGGCGGAGCGGGACTCGGCCCTGCTCAACCGCTTCTTCCTCCTCACCTTTGCGGACCTCAAGAAATGGGACTTTGTCTACTGGTTTGCCTTCCCCGCTCTCGTCCTGCCCCACCCCGCGCGCGCTGCCCCGCTGCAGCCCGCCTCCACAGTGTACCCCCCCCCCTCGGGGAGGCCATGGCCCGCGCCTGCCTGGCCTGGAAGCAGGCGCCCCCGCCGGCCCCTCCCCCGGATGCAGTGGCCGGCCCTCCGGGTGACGCTGTCAGCGACCTGGCTGCGCGCTTGGAGGCCAGCAGCGTGGAGGATCCAGGGGACGTGGCGGCGGCCAGCGTCGGGGGGGGGAGCCCCTTCTTCCTGCTGCACTGTGCGGAGGGGGAGCAGGTCACCGCCCATTCCCTGGAGCACTGGAGCGCGCTGCAGCAGCAAGCGGGCACAGTGAGCACGCCACACTTCTTCTGTGCCTTGATAGGGGGTGACCTGCGGTGGGGGTCGCCGCTGTCGTCGGCGCGTGGGCCTGAGGGAGGGCTGCCCCCTGCTTGCTACCCGCACTCTGGCCTGGCTGCCGTGGTAAAGCCTGTTACCCTGGGCTCTGACCTGGGGTTCCGCTGGAGGAGTATGTGTACACTCTTCTTCCAAACGGCATTGCAGGTCTCTGCTTTCCGCGCTGTCTGCATTGATAGCTGGCCATGCCTCCCCTGTTCTCCCTCTCCAGCCCGCCCGCCCCTCTCTGCTTCCCCTGACCCTGCGTCGCTCTGCCCCGCTGCCCCGCAGGTGGTGGCTGTGTATTTGGACCCGTGCCACCTGGCGTCCCACCCGGGGTGGCCCCTGCGCAACCTGCTGGCGCTGGCCGTGGTGCGCTGGCGCGTGCGCACGTTGCCCGTGCTGGCGCTCAAGGAGACCCGCGGCCGCCCCGACTGGGACCGCTCCCTCGCCACCACCGTGCACCTCCCGGACCTCCCGGGTCAGCCCCCCCCCGCCCCCCTCCTCCACGGAGCCCCTGCACGTCTTCCTTCTGGTGGCCCTTCACTGCGTGGCTTGGAAGCCCCACGGGGTCCGAGAGACTCGCAGGTATTCGAAGCCAGTGCGCATTGAAGGTGGTGAGTAGTGGCGCTCTGCGCTTGGCTCCCCCTTCTGACCGCCAAGGTCCGTCTGTGCAGAGTGGCGTGCCACGGGCGCTCCCTGCCCTGCAGCAGTGGGGTGGGAGCGGTCAGCAGCGGGCGCCCTGGGTCCGCGCGTGGCGGCGCTGGGCGCGGCGCTGGACCCAGTCCAGCTGGCGGGCGCGGCGGTGGACCTCAACCTGCAGCTCATGCGCTGGCGGCTGCTGCCCAGCCTGGACCTGCCGCGCCTCACCGCCACGCGCTGCCTCCTCCTTGGCACAGGCACGCTGGGCTGCGCGGTGGCGCGCACCCTGCTCGCGTGGGGCGTCAGGGACATCACGCTCGTCGACAGGTGAGGCCCTCCCTGCAGCTGGTTCCAACAGGAGGGCAGGCCAGGCCTGGCCGCTGCATCTTCCCCCCAATCCGAGACCCCGCCGCCTCCGCTGCTCCCCGGAGAGGGTTCGACCATTTTTCACCAACTTTCTATCCTCTTTCGAAAACACTGAATTCCTTCCGGCGACACGTCATGGTTCTGATATGTGCTATGCCAGTGGTCAATTTACGAACATCATAGTTTCTCCGGCATCGAAGATCGGAGCGAAACCATGTCCAGAAGACAAGTTTTACGAGAGATGACGTTGAGTCGCAACCATAAGCATTTCTGCGGCTCAGACTGATTTTCCCGAATTTCGGTCGGAGTCTATGACGGCAAAGTGTCAAGTGTGTTCCTATCCGTACGTACCACGTAATCGCATGTGGTGTATGCCGTATATGGTGGTGCTTTTGCCGCCTCTAAGGGGCCTCCGAGTAATGGAAACTTAGTCTCAACACTGAAACGTCAGCAAACGTCATCTTGGGTACAACTCACAACGAAGCAAAACACGGTTAGTTTAATGCGAACCCTTCCCTGGTCTGACTGACTGTCGCTTCCTGTTCGTCTCGTCGGCCGCAGCGGCGTGGTGTCCTTTTCCAACCCAGTGCGGCAGTCTCTGTTCACGCACGCCGACTGCCTGGCCGGGGGCCGCCCCAAGGCGGAGGCTGCGGCGGCCGCTCTGCGCGCCATCTTCCCGGGGGCGCAGGCCAGCGGGGTGCGGCTGAGCATCCCCATGCCGGGCCACGCGGTGGGCGCACGCGAGGCGCCCGCCGTGCTGGCGGCGTGCGCGCAGCTGGAGCAGCTCATACAAACGAGCGACGCGGTGTTCCTGCTCACCGACACGCGCGAGTCGCGCTGGCTGCCCACGCTCCTGGCCGCCGCCCACAACAAGGTGCAATTGTGACGCCGATACCCCCTGCTTCCGCAATCATGCAGGATTGTCCAGTTTTCAGGGCTCCCGGGTTGTTGGCAACCACTTGAGGGCGCGCTGCCTGCCGCCTGACGGTGGCCGCCCCGCGCTGCAGCTGGCCATCAACGCTGCGCTCGGCTTCGACACCTTCCTCGTCATGCGCCACGGGGCAGGCCCCCTGGCTGCCCCCCCGCCGGCTCCCTCTGCGGACGCGCCTGCCGCGGCTGGGGCGGCGGCTCCGCCCCTGCGCCTGGGCTGCTACTTCTGCAACGACGTCGTGGCGCCCCTCGACTCCACGGCCGGCAGGACACTCGACCAGCAGTGCACGGTGAGCAGCCGCCAAGCCACGCCCGCTGGGCCCCGCCCGCCGGCCGGCACGCGCAGGGACAACAATAATGGGCGGGAACATGGTTCCATGCGGCACCGCTCGTGCTGACGGCTGGTGTGCTGTCCGCAGGTGACGCGGCCCGGGCTGGCCCCCATGGCTGCGGCGCTCGCGGTGGAGCTGCTGGTGGCCCTGCGCCACCACCCCGCCGGCCTGCACGCCCCCGCTGACAGCACGCCCCCGGGGGCCGCCTTCCCGGCCGGGGCTACGGCGCAGCCCCTCGGCCTCGTGCCGCACCAGGTGCGCCTCGCCGTGTTCCGCCATCCGGCATTCTGGCATGCATGCGGCCTCCCGGCCTGCCTCGTGTGCGCGGCCTGCCAGCGCGGATGACCGCAGCTGAGCCGGGCGGCCGCGGCGTGCAGGTGCGCGGCTTCCTGGCCTTCTTCTCGCAGCTGCTGGTGACGGGCCACGCCTTCGACAAGTGCACCGCCTGCTCCGCGGCCGTCGTGCGCGAGTACCACCACCGCGGGCCCGACTTCCTGCTCCAGGTCAGCCCGCCCCGCGCCCCCTCCGCCCCACACAGCACCGTCAGATGAGGCACCCCCCACTGCCTCGCCCGGACGGACTGCTGTGACCGGCGCCACGGTGCGTTGCCTGACCCCGCGCCCGGCGATGCAGGCGTTCAACACGCCGACGTTCCTGGAGGACCTGACGGGCCTCACCGCGCTGCGGGCCGCCACAGACGAGCTGCTCGCGGAGTGGGAGGCAGGCGACGACTCCGCAGCCGACGCCGACGACTTCTAGGGGGCCCCCTTTGCGCAAACGGCACCGCAGAGCGGCTGGAGCGGCTCCGCAGCATCCGGCTCGGCCGACCCGGGCTTTGGCCCTCAGTGAACTTGGTGCAAAGCGTTCGTTCTGAATGAGGAGATTCCTCATCGTTCGCCATGGGTACTTGCTCGGCGCAATTATCATCTGCGAACGTCTTCTGCTCTCAATGATGCCCGCGATCCAGCGGGTTGTGCAGGCTTGCCTCCCTTGCGTCATGGACGACGTCGACCCACCCCCGACTGCCCTGGAAGGGTGCAGCGCACCCGGCTGCCTAGTCAGCGGGCCGGGACAAGAAGCTTCACTCCTGGGCGGATACCAAGGAACGCGAAAGGAATCTCGCCGATCATTGACCCTGCATGATGCTCGTCATGCAGCCGCGCTGTGCTTGCATGAACGAAAGCAATATTGTATCAACGGGGTGACGAATGCTTGGCTTGAAATTTGCTTCCGAGCAGGCCGTAGAGCCATGCTGTCTACGCGGACGGAAGTGATGGCAATCTGAAAAGACAAACGTTCGCAGCGAGCCCCTTACCAATCTATATACCCGGCCCGTTAGGCCCAGCAGCCGCAACCTCAACTCAACAAAACATCAGAGCACTGTGTACATTAACACTCTTTACAGAATGAAAGGTGGTCACCCGTGTCTGCTTCTACATACTTTATACGGAATTTATGGCAATGACATATGTTGCAAGTAAGGTTCAAGTCTCTTTCTAAGGTTTCTCTTTGCGACACCGCGCATTGACTGAAGTCAGATGTGCGAACAAGCCTCTACATTCCGGATGCTGCTGATCGAGTGGGCATGTGGCCTGGCTAATTCATGTATGACGGTCTATACGCCTCCTGATCTGCTTTAGCTGCATGCATGACAGATTACGCGGCACGGGCTGATCGGCTGTACACGTATACCGGCGTCTAAGTTAAAATGATACATGAAACAGATTGGTGGCCGAACGTGACTATATTAGTCACTGCTCATGTGCATGCATGCCAGCACATGTGTGCGCTTTTTGTATGAACCATCCAAGCGGTCGGATCGTCAGTCGGACGTCAGGTCCAACTTGAGCGAGCGGCGTCGGGGACTATCTCGCCGCAATCACTGAGAAATGGTGTTGGCAACCTTCAATTTTCAAAATAGCTAGTCAGCGCGCTCACTTGTGCGTACCTTCTAAAAATTGTCTAAGGAGAATCGATTCGATTCGTTGTGTCTCGGCCTTTCAATGGTCCATTTTTGTGGCCAGAACTGTTCGGTCGCGTGCCGAAGGTCCGGCTTCATATTCGCGCCTGCAGTACTGTTCCTAGCAAGAGCAACCTTCTCTGCCTAGTGCTGGCCGCCAGAGGCATGCGGTCGGCCCCCTGCAGCTCATTCAATGTACATGCCAAACCCAAGGTTCTTCGGCGGTCGCTCAATCATCCAGGGGGATCTGCACAACGACAGCCCCGCCATTACCCAGCCGCGGCAAACCGCACTCCCCCTTCAAGCGCATCCAAGGCCGCCACGAGCGCAAGTCAGGCTGCCTGCTCACCAGCTTTGCGGCTGGTGAGCAGGCAGCCTCGCCGTGCAAACCGACCGGTATGCGCTACACGGGCGGCAGCGGAGCCCCGGAGCCACACTGCCGTCATTGGGACTGCTGCGGCAGATGGCTTCAGGATGCGCATCGGGCAGGAGCTGCAGGCAGGGCGCGAGCCAGTGGGCAAGGGGGGGGCTCACTTGTTGGTGACATACTGGATGCAGCCCTCCGCGGCGCGCTCCAGCAGCCGCGCCCGCGCCGCTTCGGCCACGCCTCCCTCCTGCAAGCCGGAAAATCTGTCAGCTTCAGCGGGACGCATGCGGGCAGGGCACGTGGGCACACCCCAGGCCAGCAGGCTGCGCGCAGGCGGCGGGGCGGGAGCGGCGGCGGCGGCGCTCACCTCTTCCGGGTACCACACGCCGGGCTGCGTGGCGCCCTCCAAGACGGCCTGCGCAAACGCGGCGGTGGCAGTGCCCACGCACCTGCACCACCCAGGCGCCGCAGTCAGTGGGCGCAGCAGCCGGGGACAGCGCACAGCGAGCGCACCCTACTGCGTCCATGGCCACGACCCAGCGTGTGCCATGGGCGAAGGGAGGGGCTCACTCGGAGAGGCGTTTGTGGGAGTAGAGGGAGGCGGCGCGCACGCCGTCGGAGCAGTCGAGGTCGACGCGCATGGCGCACGCCTCGCCCACACGGCCGTCCACTAAGCGCACCAGCGGCTCGCTCAACGAGGCCAGGCCCGCCACACGGCGGCGGTCGTTCAGAAAACTCTGCACAGCCACAGCCAGCGACGCGCGCACTCTTCAGCCGGAGCCACGTGCAGACCGGGGCGTCGTGGGTGGGACGGCCCCCTCCCGCACGGACATGACCACGAGATGTACAGTGCAGATTCGCAATGCCTCCCCGCCCGGACACGCCATCTCAACTTACAGCCCGCCAGCCAGCAGGAGCAAGCATGGCAGGTCGTGCACCGGCGCAGCGGGAGGGACCATGACCACAGACGAGGGGCCCACACTGGGGCGGGCAGGCCAGGGGAGGCCTGCTCCCGACACTCCGCCGACCCGTCAAGCCAAGGCCGGAAAGTTGCGATAAGGACGAAGGCTCCGCTGTGCTCGTGTGCCTTTCTTAAATAATTAGGGTGGGTGGGTGGGCAGGATTGCGGGTGGGTGGGAGGGGGCGGCAGCGCGCACCCGCGGCAGGAGGCCAACAAGCTGCATGGCGGTGTTCCAGAAGAAGGGCGCCGTGCCAAAGCGCGCGCTGACGGAGGGCACGCCCAGGCTGCGGTGCACCGACTCCACCTCGGGCAGCTGCCTGCACGCACGCGCGCGCCGCGAGGCAACGCACGCGTCAGGCAGCACACACACAGGCTCACAGCAACGGGATCCATCAGGGCAGGCAGCCCCATCCGCAAGCAAGGACATGTGACGTGCTGCATCAAAGCAGGCAACCTCTTTCCATGACCAGATCTGTACACTATGGTAGCGCATTGGATCACGGTGACATCGTGCGGCAAAGCCACCCCCGCCAAATATGCTTGGCAGAAAGGGGAGGGCAACCGCAAGGAGGGGCAGAGGTTGCGCACTGGAATGTGCACCCTTTGGTGGAAGGTGGGGTCAAGAAGAGGGGAGGGCGGCAGGGCTCACAGCAGGTAGACGGCGCGCTTGCCGATGCCCTTGCCAAAGTCGACGGTGGTACCGCCGCTGTACGGCTTAAGGCGCACGGGCTCGCCTGCACAGGGACACAGGAGAGCGAGGGGAAGAGGGGGCGCCAGCAAACGAGTCGAAGAAAAGCTACATGAGCCTTACATCCGGTACTAGGGGCGGGGCCAGCCAGAAAATCATCAATCCATGCGAGACAAAATTAGAGTGAGTCACCCCCAGGCAGCCCGGCTGGCCACAGCGCAGTATCTGCAGCCTGAGTCAGCATGTTGGGACAAGATGGCAGACTCGCTGCCCTCTGGCAGCGGTGTGCGGCGCACCTTTGCGGTAGGCCACCACGTCCTCGCCCATGAGCAGGAATGACGTCTGAAGGATGACCGGGCCAGCGCCGCCGCTGCCCGCAGTGAAGTAGGAAAACCTGCGGGGGCACGGGCAAAGCCATGAGCGGGGCAGCGGTGGGGCCAGCACAACTGGGGAACAGACATGCCCACCAAGATGACCTCCAGCCTGCATCCATTGGGCATTATAAGGACATCAACAAGAGCAGGCATGGCCGCCCCCTCCCCAGGGCCCCTGTCATCCCGAGCTTGCCTGATCCGTTCGGGCGTGCGCTCCCCCCCAGCATCGCCTTTGGCAGTGCCCCTCCCCGCCTCGCGCACCAACTCCGCCGCCATCACTGCACCGCGCCCCGCCCACGCTCAGGCAGGCAGGCAGGCAGGCAAGCAGCAGGGGGGCCGCACAGGCAGGCGAGACAGCAATCAGGGGGCCAGTAAGGGAAGGGGAACCGGTGGCAGCAGGCCCGCGCAGAGGGGGCCACTACGAGGGTGATCCCCCGCAGGGCGGAGCAGTGTGCGGGGGGGCCAGCTGCGGTCTCACAGTTGCTGACCCCGGGGTAGATGCCCCCCGTGGTGATGGCCGCCACGCCCGCCTGGCGCGCAGCGTCGTGGTAGCCCTTGGCGCGCAGCGCATACGAGCAGTCGTCGCACACGTCCACGTACGCAGTCTGGAGCACAGACAGCGCACAGCGGAGGTCAGCGCAGGGAATGGCCAAGTTGGGGCAGGCGGGCGGCAAGAAAGGGAGGCAGGGACAGGGGGGGACGGGATAAGAGAGGGAGGGGCGGCGGGTGCGGCGGTGTACCTTGGTCTCAATGCAGGCCTCCAGGACATTCATGGCCCAGGGGTGGGCGGTGGCGCGCTGGAAGGGGCCCGCCGTGTGCACCACCACGTCCGCACCTGCAGCAGGCCCGCACACTACTCACACACCAAGGGACACGCGCAGCCTGGGGCACCGCGCTGACGTAGGCAGTGACAACAGAACTCGCTCTGCCACAGATTTGAGGAAGCAAGGCGAGGGCAAGCACATGCGGCAAGTGCCAGGCCGGCCCCCACCCCCCTCTTAGAGAAACCCCGGGTGGCTGGGGGGCGGGCTCACCCTGGACGGCCGCCAGCACGGAGGCCTTGTCGGTGATGTTGCACTCGAGGAACTGGGCCTGGGGCACGCTGGTGAGGACGCGCTGCGCCCGCTCCCTGGAGCAACACACGGACCCGCCGCGCTGAGAGACAGCGCCGCGCCAGGCGAAAAAACAGGCAGGGCAACCATGAGGGGAGCTGGCGCCACCAGCAACACGGCAGACCACGAATCAGGCAACAGCCCCCACCCACTTTGCGATACATCCTTGCTCACAAAAGAAACCGCCCGCAGGGTGCGCCCTGCCCCAGCTGCCGCGCCTCACCTGCTCCTGCCGGCCACGACCACCGCCAGCGCCTGCTCCTCCTCCCCCACCTGCACCGTCCTGCGCGCCAGCGCCGCCGCCGTGGACCCGCCCACGCGACCTGTCCCCCCAATCACCAGCACGCGCTTGGTGGTGGGGGCCGCCCTGGCAGGCGGGCGCGCCTCCGCAGGGGCCTCTGAGGCAGACACCGCCCCACGCACCAGGGGAAGGCGCCCGGGGGATGGCGCGTGCGCATGGGCAGGCAGGGCCGCAGGGCGCGGCAGCCAGGCAGGGGCCCAGGGAGCGGTGGGGGTGGTCCGAAGGGGGGAGCAGGGGCCAGGCAGCCAGGCAGGCACAAGGGCGGGAATCAAAGCGCGGCTGCGCCCCACCTCACGAGAGACTCGAGGACGAGAGGGGGCAGGAAGGCAGGCTGGCCGCCACAAGGGAAGGGCAGCGCAGGCACAGGAAGCATCGGCCATGCTGGCGCAGCGCCAGGATCGGATGGAATCAACTTAAGCAATAAAGCGGCAGCACCGTTTCAAGTTGAGGACAAGGTCTTGAGAACTTGAAAATTCAAACTCAGGCGAAGTTTCAAGCGCAGCCTGGTCGATTGTCAATGTAGGGAGCCATTGTATGAGGAGGGAGGCGTGCCGCGTCAGTGTCTTCAGACCGCAGCCTCAGCACTGGTCGCGTATCGACCATTGCGCGTTCAAGACTACCGCCCTATCTAAACCCAATTGCTCCGAGGAGCAGCAGCTTATATTTTGCTACCGGCCGCGCGTGGCCACCGCCAACAAATACGGAGGACTCCGGCCAGCGGCGCGGCCAGCCAATTGATGTACCGGTAGTGGTCGCTGGAGTGGAGTGGCCCGCCCGGTTCTAGAGCCCGGTCACTGCGACTCGTGAGTCGTGGCGGCTTATGTATGCCTGCATTTACATGGATATGATCTCCTTACCTGTATATGAAGTACCTAAAGTCAAAACCTGGCATCCGCACGTCGGAAGCACGGACTTCCCTGACTTCTGAACGCTGAAGGATCCTGAGCTGCTCAATGCTGGTGGCTGTCGTCTGGGAACTCTGCACAGGGAACTTAAAATTATAGAAGGAGGCGGCCCTGGAGGGCCAGACAGCGCGCGATCTCCAGAAACCTAAGGTTGCAACGGGTCTGCTTCTGACTGGCTGACTCCTGCGCTTCTGATTGTTGCGCCCTTTGATGGCGTTTTGGAGATTGTTGGCTGCTGAGGTAAGTGGGCCGGCTGCAGGCGGGGCCGCCCCCGGTTGTGGCAGTTGTGGCAAGCAGTGCGGGCATGCATGGCTGCCTGGGTGGCTCTGCTCTGGGCTGCCTCAATGGTCTCTGCACATCTCGCTGCCGGCAGCAAGCTGCTGATGGCTGTCGCTTGTGGCGCAGGGGGCGGCGGCGTTGCGGCGGATTGACCGGGGCCCCCTCCCTGCGGGCTTGCACCTGGCGGCGCAGTCCCTGCTGCAGCGCGCTCACCACTCCCTGCTCACAGCGCCCGTCAGCACGCACGCCGCGCACACAGGTACACCCACCAACCCCGCATCTCGGCTGCCCAGCTCCACTTCCGCAAGCAGCCATGTTGCGTCCTGCCACCGTGCAGCCGGCCTCTTCTCTCCAGGCTTTCCCCCCTCCAAGTGGTGCCTGCAGAGTGCTGACCTGCACGCGGGTGTGTGTGCAGTGCGTCAGGCGCTCGGTGATGCCCTGCTGGGTGTGCGGGGGCCAGGCGGTGCGCGCCGCGGGCTGGCCTACTTCCAGGGCCAGGAAGCTGCGCACCGCTGGCGCCAGATGGACCACTCCTCCAGCTTTGCGCGGCGCGGCGTGGACGGGGACAAGGCGGCGGCGGCCTACCTGCGTGTGAGTTGTCC